GATGTCTATTAATTTAGCGAAACCTCGCCGTGTCGTATTAGGAGCCCGTCTACATTTAATAGAGTCAAGTCCTCTATTATGAGATAGGATTCTAATATGAGACAGCAGGTGTTTTCAACACCCAAATTCAATCACAAATCTTTCGCGCGACGATTACACGATCTAACAATGCATTTTCCACTAAACAGATTTTACTCCAAGGGCAATAAACTCATAATGGCGCCAACAGACGTTGCCTATTAATTTAGCAGAAACCGCACTATCTCATATTAGGAACATATCTCATAATAGGGCACTTTCCTTTCTGTTTCGCAGTAAATGAGATATTTAATTTAATTTCGCGATACATAATACGGGCGTTTCGGCTCCATCTTAAGCCTGTCCTCTGCGGAGCAAGTTAAAACCGAAATCTTTCTCAATTCCACGTCTCCCGGTGAAAGATGAATTTGGACCAACGATATAAATGCGAAATTCGGCTGGCTTTTGTCACAACGAGCGACCCTTCTCGTCGCGCCGCGTGATATCGACGCCAAATACTCGGGTCCTTAATTCGCCTAACGATAATTGCAAGCGCGGTAAGCGTGTCTTCGTTGAGCGAAACCGTCGTTTACCGGAAACATTATCTGGCACGGCCGCGCGGAAAATCGGCGGAGCCGAGACAAACGGTTTCGTTAAGCGGCTATCGAAAATGGTTAAGTAGAAAAGCATGCACGCGCGTCCCTTCCCCGCGGGCACGACGCACGCACGTACACTCGCGAATATCTGGAAGTCGCGAAACATATGATGGAAGAAGAAAGTGGCCATCGTGAAATGCTCACACCGTGGGTTTCTTCGCGGCTAGAAACTCAAGTGTCTACTCGAGTATCAATGCGTACGCGTTTAGCCAGCACTAGAATTACTTGCGGAAAGGCTGCTATCACCAGGTAATGGCGTTTAATTTCGTGCGACAACTTTATTAACTCAACTTGGACTATCGGACGGTTTCGCTCGGCGAGGGGAAAAAAAGAGAAAACGAGAAAAGATCGAACGCACCGCGGCGCAATCTTTTTTTTTTCCAGGACGTCCTGAAGCCCGTTTCAGACTACGGATTGAGATTTACATTGAAATTTGACCGATCGGAGTAAAGTTCACTAATCACAAGTTTAGTGAATTTTACTTCGATTGGTCAAATTTCAATCTAATCTCAATCCGCAGTCTGATACAGGCTTAACTGGAGCTCGTCGATATCGCGTCGCGATTACTAATGCTCGATAACTGTTCGTTCGCTGTATGCATTGTTACTATTTTTTTTTTGGGTGCACCCTCGGGTCTTCCTAAACCTCGATCCGATCACTTGAATTCGCACTCATCGAGATCGATATTTCTATTCGAGTCACTGTCACTTGCCACGAGAATACGTGATCCACCGAGGAAAAGAGAGCGAAAAGGAGATGGACTGTTTCGAGGAGACAAAACGAAAGAGAGCGAGAGAGAAGGAACGAAGAGAAAATCACAAAGGAAAGTTCACCAAGTGCGAAAGCTGATCAGTGAATGAGTGGTTTCGTACTCACCAAGCGCATGATGCTGTCTGTGCCCACGCTCGTTCAGTACTCGGCTTTTACTCGGGAAGATGATCTCCTGAATAAGGTGGGCAGGCAGTGATAGTCCCTGATGCGCGGACGGAGGTGGGGTCACGTACCCCACCGGTGTTAACACACGTATACGTACAAGTTACACGCACGCAGGTGGCAGGTTCACTGTCCAGCAGCTGCGTCTCGGTCTCGCCACTTTCGGCCGTCGCGGATCGGCTCCTTTGAACACCGTCGCGCGTTCCCGTGACCCATTTCCCCGAGTAGTTTCCGAACCGGGTTTCGCGAGGCTGGGAAATGAAATAAGGATGACATTACGATTGCCGGGCGACAAAGTTTCTTAGGCATATTAGCTGCAAATTAGAAAAATTTCTAGACCCCGAGAACCTTTCTCTATCCCGCAACCAATCGACACGCTTGAAAAATTTGTCGTACGACGCATTTTTTTTTTAAGAATGTTGGTTGACCGCAAAATAGAAAATTTCTAGATACTCGAGATTTTTACTATCCCGCAGCGCCAGTCAACACGCTTGAAAAATTTGTTGTACGACAAATGTAATATTAGGCTTAGGCTAATGTTAAAAATTTTTCAAGCGCGTTAATTGGCCGCAGAATAGAAAAGTTCTTGAGTCTCTAAAAATTGTCTATTCTGCAGTCGATCAACGCATTAAAAAAATTTGTCGTACGACAAATGTAACATAAGGTTTAAAATATTTCCGGACGACCAATTTTCTTAAGCCTGATCTACAATGTGTTCTTTGCGTCTAGACGTTCTATTTTGTAGCCAATGAACACGTTTAAAAAATGTGTGCAAGCGGATAAATTGTACATCATGTACTGTACAATCGTACGTTATCGACCTTAAGCGTTTCGATTTGTGTAAAATAGAATGTTTCTAGACGCAAAGAGCACATTGTAATGCAGGCTTTAAGCATGTTAGCTGCAAGATAGAAAAATTTCTAGACTCGAAAATTTTTCTATCTTGCAACCAATCGACACGCTTGAAGAATTTTTGAAAAACTTGTACGACAAATGTAACAATACCCTTAGGATGATATTACGATTGCCAGACGACAAATTTTCTTAAGCCTGGTCTACAATGCGCTCTTTGCGTCTAGAAACATTGTTTTACATAAGTCGAAACGCTTCAAAAATGTCTTAACAGCATACGATTGTACGTATGCTGTTAAGACATTTTGTACAATTGATGTACAATTTATCAACTTGCAGAAATTCCTTAAATGTTTTTCTCGGCGACAAAATAGAAAGTTTCTAGACGCAAAGAACGCATCGTAGATCGGGCTTTAAGCACATTAGCTGCAAAATAGAAAAATTTCTAGACTCGAAAGTCTATCTTGCGGCTGACCGGCACGCTTGAAAAATTTTTGAAAAATTTGTCGTACGACAAATGTAATACTAGTCTAATAATAGATAAGCTTGTTGGATTCGGGAACGGACATGTGTTCTACGTGGTCGATATTTCAGTACAAGAGCGATTGAAGCACGCTTTTTTTTCTTGTATGCCATTTCTACCAATGCAGATGAATTTTAATTTAAAGTTCGACCTCTTATTTCCCCAGATATCACAGAGAACCCGAAATGAATTCTTTCTGAACATCCAAAATCTTTCATTCCACTTCTGTTCTTTGCGTCCAGTTTTACCAACGTAGATTAACTTGAATCTCGGTTCAACTTACTTTTTACCTCTTTCTGGTTTAAGAATCAGAAGAGGATAAAAGCGAGTTAAACCGAGATTAATCTACGCTGAAAAGAATTCGCCTTTTTGCCGCCAGTTCTGAACTCTTTTTCGAACACGGCGAAAAATTCTTTTTGTACTCCAAGGAAGTTCCGGAAAGGACGTTCTTCCAGTCTGAACAAATTACGCCGATTCACAAAGAATTTAAGAAAGTGAATTCTTTCCGAGTTCCTAGGAATGTTTCTAGAACAGAAATGTGATGAAAAAGAATTGATCTCCTAATTCGGAAATTCAGAGAGAATTTTCTCTTCGAATTCTCTGTGCCGTCTGGGACGAATTGTACCTTCCCACAAAAATATCATCGTCCTCCTCAACGTACAGCGTTCCTTGCACTCTACCGATCGGCTGCGAGAGAAAGAGAGAGAGAGAGAGGGGGGCAGGTGGTTCCTGAAATTTTACACACATTAAAATTTCTCTGATCTAAAACACATAGTTGCAAAAAGGTGGTGCAAAAGAGCCGCGAAAATTACGAGTGTGGATCGCTGGCGGCTTCCAAGATTAAAATCCATCGGGTTTTTTTTCTCCTCAACGTACAGCGTTCCTTACACTCCACCGATCGGCTGCGAGAGAAAGAGAGAGAGAGAGAGAGAGAGAGAGGCAGGCGGCTCCTGAAATTTTACACATATTAAAATTTCTCTGATCTAAAACACATAAGGCTTGTTTCCTGTTGCTACACTGGTGAACTAGTGCAATAAATTAGATAGTAGGACAAGTATATTTTTTCTCATTCAAGCTTACTGCACTAGTTCACCAGCGCGGGAACAGAAAACAAACCTATAGTTGCAAAAAGGCGGTGCAAAAGAAAATTACAAGTGTGGATCGCTGGGCGGCTTCCGAGATTAAAATCCGTCGGGTTTTTAAAAGTCCGGCAGATGTCAAGTGCACGGCGACAGACCGCTTTCCCGACGACGATTAATCACCGACGATGACCGCGGCGACAGGGACGACGCGGGTATCGTATGCACGCGCGTATCGGTCGCGCCGAAGGCGAACGGGTACGCACGTCGCCTCGCGCAACGACCTTCGCCTTCGGGTCGGCCGCGGGGAAAAGCGCAGAAAGGCGAGAACCATGGCGGCGGTACTATTGGCGAAATCGTGCTTTCGCTGTGTCGTGCGCTTTTCCGACCGAGAGTACATGCGCTGAGGGAGAGGAGCCGTCGGGGTCGAATAGGCGGAAAAAATGGTACGTGAGAACGCGGCCGTCCGCGACTGTCGTCGCGCGGCGGACGCGCGAGCTTACGCCGAAGTGCTTACGGCGGCGGCGACCTAACCTCTAGCCGGGGCGGGCGATACGTCTCCCTGCAATATGTTGCGTCATTTCGTCACGCGAGCCCCCCCTCCGGGGGACGAGCCGCTCGACCCCGCTTCCCGCGGATTTCCCGACTTCAGGACCGGCGCGCGTCGTCAGTTTTATGTACCGTTTTTATTTTGCAGCCAGCTCGCTCCCCCCCCCCCCCCCCGAGAGGCTCGTGTCCGCGTTATTTACGATGGTGTCGGCCCGGAGAACGTTTTGCGTTTTGGCTCGCTTCTCGCGTCTGTCAAGGGTGTAGGATATTGAAATGACCTGTACGTAGCTAATCGTCGTGTATTATGAAAAGCGCTGTTTCGGCTACCAAATTTTGCCTGACGAGAGAGAGTCCGGCGTCGGTGGTTGAGGTGATAAGAAATAAATAGGTTTCGAGGAATTAGTCTCGCTGTTCTTGGCAACGTTCCCGGGCGATCCCGCGTGTCGAGTCCTGGTGCGTGTCGTCTAGTTTCACGGCGACCTGATCATAGACGAGCTCCCTGCGAAGGTTTACTCGATATCGGTAATTCTGTATAAATCCCATAGACCTGTTTTAAGTAGAGGCAAACCGCCGTCTTACGAAGACGTGTCTGTTACGTCTGTTCACTGATCACGTTCAGAAAACGGTTTTATTGTACAGCCTCGATGTTGCGTAAAATCGTGATTGAATGTGCACCGCTAATAAAGTCACGTTCCATACATTGATATCTAAAATATGTGTTGCTTGATGCATTTGGCAGAATCACTGCAGTGAGTCTAGCAATGACACGGACGAAGGCGATGATCAAGAGGCGTCTTCTTTGCAGGAAGGAACGAACATTGAGGATACCTTAACGTCTTTCAGGGAACAATGGCAGCGCGAGTTGACGATATCACCTAAGCGCGACGCATCAAAGACGTATTCACCGAATCAGCCTAACATTGAAGTCGCGAATGACGAAGCCTCCATCGAGAGCAAGGTATGGCGATTGTCGTTTTCGAGCAAGAGGTTCCGAGTATCCGTAACATTTTCGCGAGCGCGTTACCTGTTTCAGGCGAAGAATTTATTTCTCAAGGGCATTGAACACGAGCAAAGCAGAAAGTTTTACGAGGCAATCCAGTTTTATAAGCGCGCGGTACAGTTGGTTCCCGACATCGAGGTCCGTTTGTACGAGTCAACCATAGCGAAGGCGAGAGACAGATTCGATGCTGACGATTGTTTCGATACGTTAGACAATGACTTTTCAACCACCAACGACGGCGGGAATCATAATGAGGTTGACGAGGAGGGAACTGATTTAGTTTTGAAATTGTCTAAGATTGTCAACCGCAATCAATGCGTGTGTTTCCCCAAATTTGAGCAAAGTGTAAGCATCCAATGTCGTTTCAGCATTCGCGGTAATTTCACGTGCACGATATAAATGCAGGATTGCGTCGCGATTCACGGCACGTACCATATTTTGTACTCAACGTTTCCTTTGTGCATTTTAGACAACGCATATCTCTGCACTACCTATGGAGATAGTACTCTACATTCTAAGATGGGTTGTGTCGTCCGAGCTGGATTTCCGATCGTTAGAAATGTTCTCAAGGGTATGTCGTGGATTTTACATATCTGCACGAGACACGGAAATCTGGCGACTAGCATGCGTTAGGTAAATATCGATAAACATTAGCGTGATTATTGATTGACGCGTAACTGGAATTGCTCTCGACAGGGTATGGGGTGTAAATTGCGGCACTTGCGAGCCGAAATACAAATCCTGGAGAGATATGTACTTGCAACGGCCTAGATTAAGATACAACGGATGTTACATCAATAAGACAAGTTACATACGCGACGGAGAAAATAATTTTCAAGACCGTTTTTACAGACCGTGGCATCTCGTTGAATATTTCCGGTACCTGAGGTATACAAAAACGATATTGCTGCTTTCTTGCTGCAGGCACACGATGGCGTTCAAGATGAGAAATGTCTCACAACATTTTTCTTGCGCTTAGGTTTTTTCCCGAAGGAAGAGTTTTAATGTTAACATCGACTGATGAAGCTCAATGCTGCGTAAATTCCTTACGAAATCGCGTACCACGCAATCCGTCAGTTCTCGTTGGTCATTTTCGATTACACGATAATTATGTTACACTTGTGTTGAAGAGGCAAGAAACTAAGGGAATCAATTTCTATAGAAGGAAGAAAAGAGAACCGGTGCATGACAGCGGCGAACAAACTTTCCATATTGTAAGTAATAAAGAATAAATGGATGGTGTGCAAATAAAATCGGTCGATATGCTTTCACATGCGTGTCACCGTAGGAATTCGAGATACAGAGTTATCATAGAAGAGTCAACTCGCAGCTAAAGTGGATCAGCTACAGTATTTTCACGAAATATAAAAACGGACAAGAAGCGAAGATTTGCCTAAAGGAGCCATCCGTAAGGGAATTCAGGGCGTCGCCGATTGGCGGCAGATATCCACCTCTTAAATTCAGCAGGGTAAAGAGTTACATTCAGGAGAGCGAAGTCCCGTTGTAGTAATGAAAATAGCAACAAACAAATCATATGCATCATGAGAGTACAATTTTGAATTATTCTTACAGAAGAAGAAAAATGAATTAGTGAACATAGTGAATTCTCAATGAGTTACAAAACCGTAAACAAAGATGAATATCTAATTATAATTGAATGTGCTTTTCTTTGAGTCATATCAAGTACATATATATATTTTTTTTTTCAAGTTATTTTATTTATCTTGTATCACGTATATTTTAACGCGTGTACTAGCTACGCTTACACTTGGCGCGAGACACTGCCGTGTCTCGTGATGACAGTTTCTATCGGTACATTATACAACCTGCAAATCACAACTATCTTTTAAAGAATTATGTACGTCAACAGTACGTCCAATGGAAGTGTAACTTATTTATAGATCTAATATATAATTATTTAAGCACTAGAGTATATAGTGCCTTACATCATTTCGCAATGAGTAACATACTTAAAAATGTAAAGTATGTATTCAAGAATGTAATTGTATGGTTTTGTTTATAATTAATTATTGCTCAGATATGGTTAAGTTTGAAAGTGTGTTAATTGAATAAAATTTATGTGTATAATTTTATATAATTATATATAATAAATAGCAAGCACTGAAATTTATGATTTTATTTATGCAATAAAAAATATAATGTATGTACACTCGTGTGTGTGTGTGTGTGTGTGTGTGTGTGTGTGTGTGTGTGTGTGTCTGTGTGTGTCTGTGTGCGTGTACGTGTGATACAAAATATAACACATGTATATTAATTCTTGCGGAACATGCGAAATGTATGTTCGTATTCTATATTACTATCAATTGCTTTTGCTACTAGGTAACTTTTACACAATCGTAAATCTATAATCGATTTTTACTGTGTATCAATTAGCTATATATTTTATCATACGAGTTACTCATCTAAGTTTCGAAATTTACATTTCTAGTTTTCCTATTTCTGCATTGAAATAGATTTAGCTGATCTTTAGAATAATTTTATTATGGGTTCAGTATCACCTGAACGACGAATTATCTTACTATAGTGGAATCGAACCAGTATCCACTAATGTATTTAAATAATTTCGTCTCTGGATGTATCGTAAAGCGTAACTGATTTAAAGAAATGGACGTTCAGATATATGTATATATTGTTGGATGACTCTGATAAAAGTCTACACGGTCCGAAGACTTTTAATCCTACTCGAGTCTAATTTCTTCCTTGATTCCTTCGCATCTCTGTATCGTTTTAAACCGTTCCTCAAATTTCGTTTTACACATAACAATCGAATACAATCACAAGTTTATTAATCCGAGAAATGAAATACATTCAAAAATCACACAAGAAAATACATTTTTCTGAATTCTAAAAAATTAATTTATTCTCAACACAATCAATGTTTGTATGTCGATTATTTTAGTAAAATAGCTTGTAAGCTTGAGACGGCTTTTTATCATTTGTATTCGAACTGAATTTACGTATCATCCACCTTCAAGTACGGTTGGATTTCTTGACTACGGGCTCGTGTAGACTACTGAACTCTAGGTTGCATCACAACGATGTGCTTGTATTGCTTTTCAGATCACCTTTAATACTTTCCCTCATTATGTTTAATAAAGTACATACCCTTAATAAAGTACATACAATTGACTCTAGTAAATTTCTAACTTCTTTCAATAGACTTATATGTTTTCCAGGTAACTTTGTAAAAAGAATAAGCGAATTGTAAGGAAACATCGTAGATATTTGTTTTGCGCGTAAGATTCACTCCTAATACTTGAATTTTTATCTTATATTTTTCTCTCCTATTAGAAAAAAGATATAGATTTTTTTATTTCATTGTTAGATTCCTCGATAACAATTTAATCATAAGAAATACAAAATAATGTCACAATGTTGTTGAGGAAAACGTGCACTTTTAAAATGTGCAGAATACGTGTGCAATTAATTTTGAGGCTTTAAATTTAAATGACATGTCCTCGGTCATTACAATAAAAAAAATATATACACTTCTCTCTGATACAAATGTTTCAATTTCATTATAATGGAAAGATAAACGATATATTATTACTTGTCAGAGTTATGTTATTAAAAGCAGATTTTAAAATAAAATAGTTATCTTTTCGGAAACATTAGATAAAATAAATCTCTCTCGCATCATACCCGTCGGTTTCCGTCAATTCTACTTTTCCCCTCTGTGTTTGCAGAAGAAATATCCCACAAATATCCCATTACTGTTAAACATTCGATATGATAAGTAACCATATGTGCTTTGTACTCATGATTGTACCTAAACCGTCCCGTAATAATCACATAAATTAAGTAACTCTGTATTAAACTCTGTGTTTTATATATATATATATATATAATATGTATATATATATTTTTTTTCAATATCCTTAAATTTATCTATTATAGAATTCAGCACTTTCTGGTCTCCAAATGTCGAAGCATTCGACTAATCGCCGGTTGTTATAGGCTCGATTTATCACAGACTGCAGCAAGCCGTCGCGTTCTTCATGATTCAATCACAATTCTTCGCGACCCGAAGGAAGAGAGCTTGTTTTATTGCACGTAGACGGATCGGACATCCAGGCGAGGTCCTTCAAGGTTGCGGTGTGCATAGAACATACCGCTAGGACGACCAATACATGCATCACGTTATGGGAATTCAGCACTAAATCCAATCTGCCGGGGATCCACTTCTCTGGAACGCGAAGAGCGCCAATGGTTGCACCTATCACAGCTATGAGATCCTGGAAATTATTCCTACGTCAGCATTATTTTCTAGCGCCATTTGGTACACGCGGCAGTCTGAGATCGTATTTAAAATGGACCTGTAATATTATATGATTAAGAGCCTCGGGTGATCCACCACCAATGCCAAAACATCTCAACGTCATGACCAGCATCCTCATTAAGAAAGGAGGGGCAAAACACAAACGCCTTTCCCATGGTGATCTCGCAGTCATTGCCTACGAATTACGTAAAAATGTTTAAATGTTTCGTCGCAGCGAAACGTCCGCGGTGCCCACGTGAGCTAGAAAGTACCTTTATAAGTCCCCACATACTGAGGGAGCAATAAATAAAAATGCAGCAATACCAGACGTTATCGGCAAGGCAATGAGCAGCGGCTGCCATCATCGGTATAGCTCCTGAAATGAGTCGTGCATGAAACAGAGAAGCGTCTATTTTGCCACTACGGAAACTGCTGCGTAAGCACTTTTTGTTATTTAAAACTTTCTTCGTTTGAAGCAAGAATCCACTTGAAATACGAAGAGAGTCATTTGTAAAGTGAAATGTTGCAAATTGTGAGCTCTAGTCATACGTCTGTTCTTTCAGCACGTTCCGAAAGGCTTTTCATTTACAAATGGATCACACACCGAAACTCTGGCACAGCCATATGCCGATCATGTCGACTTTCAGCAGTGTTCTGTAGAAAGCTTCGTCGTAGTTTACGTTCATGAAGAGGTGGTACAGGAAGGATCCGATCCACGGGCTAACGGCGCCGATCAAGTGGCACCAGGACAGAATTCCCACGAGTGTCCCTTTTGTGTTCCATGGGAGTAGAAGTGGCACAGTCACCAACATGTACAGAATAGCGAATCCTGTAAGCACACACGATCGCTCGTACGCAGGATGCTTTCGGGCGAGAGCATTTCGCTAATGAAGCACTTTCGTGTTGGAAAAATGATAACCGTGATCTCGCGATAATCTTTTATGAATTCCTGATTGCGCCCTTCGACAAGTTCGATGATCACATGTTATAGAGAAAACGTTGACATATCCCATTAAACTCTGCGCCTCTTGTCCAGGAGTAAACTTTATATGATTTTAAACAACTTTTCACATTTCCAAGTCATCTTCTGCCTCACAAATAATTATTCAACTGATAATCGCGTTAATGAATTAAGGAGATACGCGAGAAGCGATAACGGGAAAAGACCGATCGACGGCGGAAGGATTCGCAACGTTGTATAATTTTCTTAAAAAGTCATTTTAAGTGTGTGCATTAATGAGTTCCTCCACATACGTGGGTAGCTCTGACCTACTAAGATTTTATTTCACGCACACGTGCGCCGGTCGATACATGAGATTTATATACAGGATGGTCCACCAGAAACAGAGCACTAGTTTCTCCTTCGAACGAACGGAAAAGGATATTAATTCATGTAAACTGAAGGAGCGGCAGAAAACAATTCTTTTCCCTCTCTCTTCGTCTACGAACGCGATTTCGGGTGCGTATAGATCGCATCACCGTTTGCTCAATGCGTGAGAAGCAGCGACGAGCGCTCCTCATATTTGTTACGTAATAAACCGTTCGCGTACGTTTAGAGTGTATTTGACTGACGTCCGGTACGATTAGGAATTTATCAATGAATCAGCTTTAACAGGGAAAGAATATCGTATGGGTTCACTTTCATCGATCGTTCGTTACCCCGCAATGCGTCTTCGTTCAGCCGCGATGTGTTTTCACGGAAGTTGGCCTTGATAGTATATGCACCTTGACTTTAAAGCCCTTAAGGGACTTGATCCACTTTTCCAGTTAATCCAATCACGAGGATGACGAATCTCTTACGTGACATTACCCCGTACTTTTTGGAGTATAGTTGATCGTGAAGAGTAACGTAAATCCTGCGACTTCACTTACAGAGTCTCGTAGTGATTTACTTTATTGTTAGCTTATTTTGCAATGTATTTGTCTCTCTTTCTCGCTACGTCGAGGTAACTAGTAAAATTTAATTAATTTGAACTTGAAATGAATCCAAATTCAAGGACCCACCACCAAATTTTGTGCGACAATTTTTTAATCGTTTTCCCAAACGATAAAGAAAGGAAGTTTCCTCTGCATACAAAGAAATTTTTCACGCACATACTTTATCAACGTCAAACTTGTCGAGAAGTTCAGCAGATGATGCTCCGTTTTGAAGATGAAAATTGTATCATCGCAACGAATAATTTTCTCTCATGTTTCTCGACATCTAATTCCGCAGTACTTGAATCACTGTTTTTGAACGAAAAATTCGGGACGCTTAAATAAATATGAAAATATCTGTGATTGGCAATCAAAATTCTTTACGTTGCAGCAGCTAACGAATTTAGAATCGCATCGTTCCCGAGAAGTGCAGGCAATTCCGAAAGAACTCGTCGGAGAAAAACCTTTAGAACGAGAGAACCGCGTTAAGTTACGTGAAAAGGAAAAAGAAAGCGACTGTCGTTTTTATTCAAACTCAATCGTTTTACAATCGCAATCCTAAAGGGAGTAAAGACCGAATCAGCCTAGCAATTGCTGACTCGGATTGAATTGGAATTGACGATTGCCCCTTAGCCAATGAGAGGCGATTAAATTGCTGGCCGCTTTGCTCTCATTGGCTAAAGGACAATCGTCAATCGCCAATTCCAATTGAATCCGAGTCGGCAATTGCTAGTCTAATGCGGTCTTCACATCCTTTACGGCTGAATCAGACTAGCAATTGCCGACTCGGATTGGATTGGGATTGGGCGATTGACGATTGTCTTCTAGCCAATGAGAGCCGATTAAATCGCTAGCTTTGCTCTCATTAGCTAAAGGGCAATCGTCAATCGCCAATTCGAATTGAATCCGAGTCAGCAATTGCTGGTCTGGCTCGGCATTAACCGCATTACAGACTCCGGCCTCACCGTGCGTCAGGATGTTGACGGTCTCGTTGTGGATGTAGAAAAGGCTACCGAGGCACTGGCGGATGGTCATGAGCGGCCTGTAGCCGGTGAGGATGTGGGGATTGAATTGGAGGTGCTGCGGCATGTCGCTCCATCGCAGCAGCAGGACCTCGGCCGGCGTCTCCTTCGGACGCGGCGCCTCGGCAACGCCGCCGGGCATCCCCTTGTCGTCCTGACGCCGCGCTCCGTACGTGTCGGTGTCGTCCTGGTGCGGCGAGCCCGACACCGCCGCCGCATGGCGCGGTCGCTCGTCGTCCCGGAACGGCGTCGTGCAACGGCGAACGCGCGCTGCCCGCTACCTCGGGGAAGAGGGTGATCGGTCCGGCCAGCGGACGAAGCGGGTGGGTCGCCTCCGAGAGCCGTCAGCGCGAGCCCTCAGCGGCCTCAACGGCGGCGACGTCGCCACTGCATCGCCGTGCGCGCCGCCGAAACCCTCCCGTCCGTGCTGCGCCGCGCCGCCCGCTCTTCGCCGCCGCCGCCGGCAGCAGCCGTCATCCGCACGCGATTCGGCCTCTCTGACGGACCCGTCGCCACGGCAACCGCATCGATCCCATCACTCGGGCGGTCAGGAGGCAACCTCATCGCGCGCGATCTCGCCACAGCGGCGTGTCGCAGATGCCTCTATACCTGCGGGTCAATTCTGCATCTTACACTGTGCACTGTAATGAAAATGAGTTGCTCTTGTCTCTTTTTAACTGCCCCCTTAGAGAGAGACAAAGCCGCTCACTTTTAGCATCTTCACTATGTTGCAAGATGCAGAATTGACCCTCTGGCTCCCCCGACTAGTAAATGGGGTCACAGCTACTTATGACTTGGATCGCGCCAAACTTTGTCACGTTAGTTTCGCAACGTTCCCCCGGAAGCCGTTTTCCGTGTCGCCCCCGACTTTCCGCGGTACACCTCGTTAATGTTAACAAAATATTGTTATTAATTAACGCGTTACGCTTGGTATCCTTTATTTATCTTAAACGCACGATTGGATTTTACGGCTGATTACACTTGTCATGTTGCGGCTTTAATGTATAGAAATTACACGGTATTTTTCAACGATGGAATCTTTCTTTAATCGACGAAGGACATCGATATGATTGCGCTTTAAACAGTATTAGAATTTTAAACAGGACACGTAGTTGGCGTGCAGCTCCTGAACGTCCCACAGTTCCTCCACGCGTGACCTATTGACACAATTTCGGCGGTTGGGTGTTTTTGAGTTAATTTGCTATGCTGGATATCGGCTCCTGTCCCCGCCGCTCGCGTTATACATTATGCAAAATATACATACTATTTCAAGCTTTATCGACTTTGCATCGATGAGCATTGCTGCGCCCTTGCAGTTAAAAACTATTGTGCTGGAAATAAAACAAATCGAAGGGAAGCTGAAGAATCGTCGGTGAACTTGTACGAAGGAAAAGTGTCGTATCTCGCCTCTCGGTATACAGATAAAAATTCTAATCCCACAGAAGCGAGAAAATTTTAACAGTTGCGTAGCTTTCAAAACCCGACACTGCATTCCACGGAAGATGAAACTTCCATCAAAGAAGAAGAGAAACGCTGAACTTTGCGCACGTCATTTTATTCCTATATACGTATACGTGATATTTTCCGTATACTCTCTTACAATTTTTAAACGCGATGCTTTTCAATACGCATCGATATCACTCATGGACGTAGTATAAATGGACCCACCATGCGCTCTGTGAACTCGTGAAACCAGAATAACCGAGTGAGACAGAGAATAAAGGGACTTCATTGATATGTTCACGTGTGCTCTTTGACACGTAGACAATTTTAGCACTCCTGACAGTTGTAAAAAAACATTCTGCTAACCAAGACCAGTCCCTAGTAGCAATAATATATTGGGCGCAATATTGGGAAATAATGTAAATCTAGTATTCCCAATATTGGCCCAATATTGTAAGATGGACGCCTTTCCTCATTTAGCAATATTGGTCTAATATTGCATCAATATTGTTACTACATCGTTAAATATTGGCCAATGCAATTCCAATATAAATCTAATATTATATAATTATTACCGTGCATTATTTACATTTATTTCATGGCCGATATTAGCTTTACGTCGGACAATATTGTTGGCCAATGCATTTCTAATATAACCAACCTAATATACCAACATTGGACCAATATTTAGTCAATGTTTAACCAATGCACTGTGCTACTAGGGACGTTAACGTAATATAAATTAATAATGCCCGGTCCTAAACGGTCTCTTCATTTTCTAATTGATTTTATTTCTTAAAGGACCCAAGTTAAAATTGTAGTAAATTAATGTTTTCTGAATTTTTGAATTGTAACATTTACAAAACATTATAACCCCGATGGTAAAATATTTAGCAAATTATGTGACACAATTAAATTGCACAATTAAATTGCTATCGTGTTACGACGAGCTGCCGCTACGAGGCATCTCATACTCGCAAGTAAAATTCACGCAAAACTAAATTAAAGCAGGCCCAGCGGTAAATACGTCCCACGCTAAATCTTTTTTAAACATTTATTACACGTAACTGTGTTGCTGGGCAATTGTGCTTCTAAATGTCAGAATAATTGTGCATGATTTATCCCTTAAATTGAGATAATCAATTTTTAGGCAAATACCATTTAGAAATTTGATTTCTACAAAACCGCTGCGTTTTGGCGAATCACCTTAATGCAATCATTGTGAAATTGCTTCCTTTTGGATGACGCAATGATTACAAAATTTTAAGACATTTTTCTATCGGGGAATTCAGCGGACATTAGATCGATGTTCTTGCAACATCTTTTCAACGTTGAATCTACATTTCGTAACACTAATGCAATATTGCAATGTTGTAATGGAACGTTTCTGCGATGTTGATTCAACATTTGTGTAAGATTCACCCTTATTTAACATTTGGCGAATAATAGGGACAAATGATGCATCGTGTGCGTCGTGTGCGTGAAACGGAACGCACCCTCCGCATCACAACTACGATCCACCGAATTTGCCAACGAGAGTGAAAGGTTGATCGTAGCTTGTCCTCATGCAAGCCAAGCGCATCGTACGTCAGAGTCACTCAAAATCCCAAAAGAGCGACAGGAACGCGACTCGGGTCCTCGTCGGCGAAGACCTTCTCGCAGCCGCTGCCGTCGGAGACACGTTCCGGTCCTCAGATGTCTCTCGATCCGTAAGCCCGCGCGATCTAGCGTAAATCTCTCGATCGTAGCCCAGATCCGTGCGCGACGTCCCGCCGTTATTCCTCCCCCTCGTTCCCGGCGCATGCAGACTGTTTCAGGACTCTCGGGGGCGACTCGTACAATGGATACCAAAATTCCCGACGGTCCACCTGGTGTCGACCTTCACCCGACGTCGAAGCGCCCGCACGCCGCGCTCGGGGTGAGCTCCGCCGCGACGGCGCAGGCCGCGCAGGCGTACCCCGACGACGGGGTGCACTATCTGAAGCAAGTACTCCTGGTGAGTATCGCGCGCGCGATTACGATGTGTGCAGGCACCGCGCTGCGTTCCCTCCTCGGTCTGTCTCGGAGGGGTGTTCGCAGTATGCCACGTTGCTTGACAAATTCGACCGGTCACCTTGGTCGGCCGCGTCTCGCCGTAAAGGTAGCCCGCGCACGGTTTGATCACCCCTTCTAGGTCACGACGTCATTCTCGGATCCAAATACCCTCCCCCTCCCCTCTTCTCTCTGTCCAGTCGAGCCTCCTCCGCTGCCGCGCACGGGGCTGCTGCACGAAAAGTTACGGCAAGTGATTCGCCGAGAATTCAATTGACCCAGACTGTCGATCGTAATTCGATTACGATCTGGTTTACTTTTTGCTGCGTGAGCAACGGTGTTTTGGCGCAAGTCTACGTGTGTCACGTGGCCCCGTGCGCGAGACAACCGAGCTAGCGGGTAGATATCGACGTTCTGTCGACCGAACCAAGATGAATTCCTTTGCGCGTAATTTTTCCGTGTGAATGGCGGTAGCAGAGCGCAGGCCGTAGATTACATCTCCCGTAAAATATCGTCCATTTCTCATCCGTACACAAATGTTGAATCAACATCTCAGAAACGTTCCATTACAACATTGCACCAATGTTACGGAATGTAGATTCAACGTTGAAAAGATATTGCAAAAACGTGTAATGTCCGCTGAATTGTAATGCCTTGCAAACGTTACAATTCAACATTCAGAAAACACTGTTAAATTATATTGAGTTAACATTGGTCGCGTTTAGCAGAATATTTTTTACAACTGTTGGAAGTGCTGAAATTGAATTATTTCACAAAAAAAAACAATAATTCAATCTTAGCTCAGAAAATTTCTAACCGTTGCAAAAATATTATACATGTATATACATTTCATAACACATTAAAAACATATCTTTCTTTTGATAAAATCCAATTTATAAAATCGTGTGTTTAGCGGAATAATTAAATCCGGTACCTTCTCCTCCTTGAACACTACTAATTTTAATCAAAATACTCTATCGTGACGTTGTGATCTAATTTGAATTCTTGTTTGCCGCAGAACACCTGTAGAGAACTATGGACGATCCCGGAAGGTGCGATCGCGACGACGGCGGCCAACTATTTCTCCAATGACCAGTTCAAGTATATCTCGTTTGGCATGATGACTCAGGTAAAAAACGGTTTTGTCCTAAAACAATCAGGCAGATCTCAGCCAGTTTCATAGCCAAAAGCACATGTACATTTTGTTCGGAAAATATCGCAAGTTTAGTATAGGGATATTCTCATTGGGAACATTCTTGATACGTTGTTTGCGTTCGCTTTTTCCCTGTTGGGAAAATTAATCTGTAGTTCATGTCACGTGACGTAAACTATAGATTTATTTCTCCGTTGGGAAGAAACGGGCGCAGATTCTGCGGATGTACGAGATATCATGTGCTGTTAGGGTACAATTACATTTGTCGTACGACAAATTTTTTCAACGTGTTCACAAGATAGAACATTTCTGGGATACTCAAGAACTTTTCTATCCCGCAGTCAACCAACACGTTTGAAAAATTTGTCGTACGACTGCAGGACAGTAAAATTCTCAGGTATCTAGAAATTGTCTATTCGGCAGCCAATTAACACGTTTGTCGTACGACAAACTTTTTAAGTGTGTTGGTTGGCTACGGGATAGTAGAATTTGTCGTACGACAAATTTTTTTA